CAGTGGAATTATAATGCTGTTACCAACCCAGAGTGTATTTTTAATCTGGATGGCAGGGAAAGGTCATACTGCATAATCACATTTAACTGCCATTCCCTATTAATACAGTGCTTGGTCTCAACAATGTCACTATATATCATGGCTACTATATATTGTCACTATATATCATGGTTACTGTGTAGTCAAAGATGTGATATTTTTYTTTTACAACACAGTATACAATCATAAACACATTTTTATGCAGCATGTTTTCAATTCCTTGTGGGATGGCTGGAGAAAGGATTCCAAGGGCTCTCCAAACTCTGCAGAGGATGCACATGGTGTGAGCTTGTCTCCATGCTCCCATCCCACTCCTTCCAGTGAGATTAGCACCCGGACCAGCCCACTTGACAGGCCCACATGGTTTAGATTCGTAATCAGATTACTGTTTTGTTAATCCTATTTTTAAACAATGAAAAAGCCAAGTCCTTGAGCTGAGCCGGTGTTTGTGTGTGTRTGCATAGAGAATAAATGTCATCCTTTTGGAATAAAGAACCTTAATGCCAAGTGAAAAAAGTTTTTCCATGCAAGAGACTTTGCCCTGTAGGGGAAAGAGGGACTATATTGCATTATAACCATTTCTTTTTCCCACTGGTTTTGATGTCCACCGAGCCCCCTCCTACATTTGCACGCTATATCTTCTACAACATATATTCTTTAAAATAATAGTTACAGAAGAAAACTACTCCCTGACTGCTCCAGGAACTTTAATTATGAATGTTCCGCTACTCAAACTTATACTTTAACAACTGCCCAGGCACTGGAAAATACTTCATACTTCGTATACTCAGTGTAACAGACTCATGGTGGAAAAAATCTCACTGGGCAACCAGCAGCATTTGTCTCTGTCACAGAATTTCCAGCACCGTTGCATTTTCCCAAATGATGCGGAAACTCCTTTCTCAGCTCCAGCATCCACTTTTTTTCCCCTCCCCATCCTATTCCTGTGCTGCCACGGCCCAGTCCCAGCCGTTTCTCAGCGGAGTGACTCCGCAGTGCCGGTTGGAGGGACAGAAGCAGAGCTGTCCCGCTGCTGGCTCCAAAAGCCGGTCTGACACCGCCCTCGCCCGGCCCCGCAGCGCAGCGCGCTCGCTTCCCGGCCCGAGCCGCCTGCAGGGAGATGAGCAAAGCCATGGAAAACCATCCTGCTCCCCAGCAGCTCCTCAAGAGCCTGCTCAACCTCCAGGTCCCCTCGGCCGGGTGACAGCAGCAGCACTGTGAGGTGTAAAACGCACTCGAGCTTTGCACCGTGGAGGAGACTGATGCATTTTTAACGTGGTGCTGCCAGACCTGAGTCAACAAAGCATTGGAAAAGCCCAGAACGTGTATTTAAAAAGCAAGCATCAAGATGTCATAGCCTGAAAAGCAGAACACCTGAAAAAGTGATGATTATATTGCCCAAGAAATGTAATTCACAGGGAGTTTTGCCCCCGCCAGTATGTGATAAAGCTTTATGACCTGGTTTGTTTTTTGTTTCAAAAGTGCATCTTTTAGGCCAACCTAACAGTAACTCCCCATTTCCATGCAGAGTACTGGAACTAGGTTTAAATGCCAGGTATTTCAGAGTATCCATTTCTCTTCCATTCTCTTTAAATAATATTTTTAAGTTCTTTTCCCTTCCTSTCTCCAAGACTGTTATCCATAGAACCAGCTTGGAAGCTTAGCTCAGTAACCAGCACACAGAAACAATCTATRGTAGACACAGAGGGAGGAATGAAACTATAAATTTACAGTGGAGATCCCGCTCTGTGCTGAAAGTGCTTTTTAGCAGGTGTGCACTTCAAAACACAATCACAGCACTAAATACATGGTAACAGCAGCTGCTTCCCTGCCAGCACCTTGCAACAGAAACCTGCAGAAAAAAAAAGTGTATTTCCCCACCAAAGCTGAGCTGAGGGGACCTATTCCATTGAAGACATCRGTTTTTCATAAGAAAAAACAACAGRAGTTTTTGAAGCTGCTGGCTCTGGAGCTGGGAATATGGGCAGGGTGTGTGTTAGGCATGGAACAGCTGGCTTGGAAGCTCTCACAAAAAATCAGCTACAATGGTGCAGCCGGGCCAGGACACCACCCAGCCAGCAGCCCTATGCTTTTCCTTTGTGGTTGCAGAGCTGTTCCAAAAGCCAAGCTTTCATTCCAAAAAGGAGAGAGAGAGAGAAAAAAAAAAAAAAAGAAAAACCCAAGGCTTCAGCCCATCCAAGTCTAGACCAGCTTTTTTTACAGCTGGAAATTGCATAGTTTCAGCTGTAGCATGGACAGAAACATGCTGAGCACCACTCTTGGCTAAACTGATCCCTGGAAAGGTGGCARAATTCATCCAGAAGATGGATCTGATGCAGAGATGTGTGCTGRTGTGCAGCCAGGCTTGCAAGGACATGGCTGCCCAAGAAGGGAGCTGCCTGCTTGAGCAGGAGGCAGAAAGAACAGCATTRGAGGGGTTTAAGTGCTGGTAAAAAGTACAGGAGACTGTCAGGCTGGATGCCATCCYCGTTCACAAAGCTCTGGAATGCAAAGTCATCTTATAGGGATGGGAATWAAARAAAAMCCMMARAAAAMCCCCAATCCAAACACCTGAACTGAGTAKCAGCAGAGTTTGAGCACAGAGCCACCACAGAACAGCCCAGCTCCTTGAGTTTTGAGTCAGAATAGTACAGAACTGCATAAAACATAGCAGATGAGATTCATTAGTACTGGCATTTCACACCTGCACCCAGATTTTGCAAGGACAGCAGTTCCCTGAAGATACAGGTGCAATTATAATTTCCATTCACAYTGATCTTTGATTGAGGCACAGATAATTCTGGAACACCTGGGCGCAGCTCTGCTGACAGATTCCCCCACTGCCCTCACTCCCCCAAGTCCCTCTTCTGTTTGTAATTAAAAATTTCCASCATAAGAAACATATTTTTGAAACGCCCAAGTATGCAATATCACTCTTAAAATCTTTCCCTCATTTCACAATGTTTTTGAAAGGCATAAATAAAGCCAAGTAAATTTTATGAGTCTGRCAACATGGGTCGTTTTGTTCAGTTTTAACTCCAGTGCTCAGGATCTCCTGATGAATAGTTAAGAGAACCATGCACAAACCAGATCTCATCTGCAATTTAAAGAAAACAAAAGACTCTGCTCCTCCAGCATATAAATCATCTAAAAGCAACAAAAAATACTTAGCTTCACTTCTCAAGCAACTAATATTTTCAGGAGTTTTTTGTGCCTCTGAACGCTTGCTTGAATTTGGATTATTCAATATCCCAAACAGCTTATCCTTCAGTGGTTGAATACCATTATATAGCAGTTAAACAGTTTGTTAYCCAGCTTTTCCACATAGAGGTATTTCCAGAACATCTGCATGAGTAAAGCAAGAGGCTTCTTGCATAACTGCTCCAGTGGAGGGGGGGAAATCTCCTGAAGGCTTTTTAATATGATCTTTCATAATTCAAGTTCTTGGGAATTCATACCAAACCAGCAACAGTGGATTCATTAAATAGTTCACTTTCACCTAATGCTTTCTGCATGCTTCACTCCTGAGCTATAAAGCAGCAAGCAGCCACCTTTCCATAATGTTTGTGGTCAGGGGAGAGCTTTCCATTTGAAGTCAGAGGAAAAACCCTTCCATCTTGTGCAGGCTGTGAGCCAAAAGGAAAGTTTTATGAACTGAGGTTTGTCCTCCCACCCTGTTCAATAGCTTAGAAGTGTCTGACCAAGAAAAATTCAGGAGCTTGAGGATTCAAATGAAAAAACTAAAAAGGAGAAGTAAGGTTGAAGCTTCCAGAAATACCTACATAATTTCATTTTCACTGGGTATGTCTTATTAAACCTTAGAATTGGGCAAAAAGCCATATCCCTAGTCCTAGCCAGAAGCAAGTCTCGAGACACAGAGATGATTAGCATATGCTCAGTTAAGACCTGCTTATTTATTTTGCAAATGTTTTTACTGAATTAAATAAACTCATCCTGACCATTTTATCAACACAAGGATTTCTGCTTCTTTAAGACAACAACCTCCCCCAGTTGTTTTTCTGAACACACCACCTCAGTCTGCGCCTGTTTCCCCAACAGGAGGGGAAGATGTTCCCTAAGGCAWTACAACTGAGTCCTCCTTCCTGAGGAAGAATCTTCAGATCTTAAAAATATCTTTCCCCACCTCAATTATTTTGCCTTGTTAGAGATTAAAGCCTGAAGTTACATACACTGGTTATGTTACAATTTTTAAGTTTACACACCAAAATAGACAGAAGCTAGGGAATGAAAACGAACATCAACAGTCTTCTCATTTCACCTTTTACGTGCACTTGACCAAAACATTTTGTTGGGTCTAAAACAAAAGGTTCTTGGCCTGTCAGTTTATTACCAACTTTAAAAGTCACTAGCAGCATGCTCCTGTTGCATTTCTAGTCAAGGGAAATATCTCTATGCATATATAACAGTGCATTCAAAGTTGGCACTCATATCTGTTGATGAACATGAGTATTCCAAGGGTAATTACTTAGAAACAAGAGCTCAAGCAGTCCTAAGGAACCACTGCTCCATACCCCAGTGTCCACAGMCCAGCTCAGTAACAGCAACTGGACACAGGGACACTCRTCCTACATGGACAGGAATTATTTCWCTCCTTTCCAAAGGCAACCTGGATTTTATTTGCCTGTTGCATTTTGTGCTAGAGAGAGAATCAAGAGGATGGGATGCCTGGAAAGCTTGGTTATYGTGACCAGGGCTGTTTTCTGTCCTCAGTGCTGGATACTCACCCAAAGGATGAAGACCACACACTTACTCCTTGCAGCCCCTCACTTGCCAGTGGTTACTTTTCCTGGCCAGAGTCCCCCATAGCACACAACAGCCTCAGCTTTGGTGCTGCACAAGCTCCTGCCAGGTCACTTCATCTCCCACCTTGCTTTATACACATTTATTGCACTAGAACACATGCCTTTTATAAGAAAAAAAAAAAATGTTGTAGAAAACTGCAAGATTGTAAATACTAGATTTATGATTTGTTTGCAATTATATTTAATATTAATAGTGTCTTGTTTTTACAAAGCAGTTGAAATTCAAAATAAAAAAAAAAAGGAATAGCAAGAACCCCCCTGTGTGCTGTCTAGCATCAGTAATCCTCACTGGTTTGTTTACCATTTATAAGGAAAACATCATTCAAGCTGGCTTGTCACAGAGACTCTGCAATAACKGGCCTTCAGTGCAAATCTGTGGCATTTGTCAGATCACCTGTGCTTTTTCTGAAGTCTCTCTGCCTAAATTCAAGGTGTCTGCCAATGGTAATATCCCTCCTCTCTAAATTGTCTTCCAGCCAAACACAGTCAATCTGTTAACTTGTCTGGTGTTGGTAAATACCCTCATTTTACAGAGATGAACTGAGCGTAGATAACTAAATTTGCCAGAGAGCCCAGATCTCACAATCCCACCTTGGCTGGAGACTACAGTCTCCAGAGAAGAGTGAGAATTAACTAATTGTACTGAAATTGCTTCTTTCTTCACCCTCTCGAAGAGGTACAGATCAGCCAGATTTCTGCTATAGATCAGCCAATGCATTACAATTTGGAAACGGTGTAAATCAAACAAAACAAACTGTTTCAAGTTGACAAGTGCACTAAAGCAAGCCCAAAGGAGTTCCTGTGACAGGCCAGCTGCAGACAGTTTACAGGGGTAGGATGAAGCTGCTAGTGCCAGGGGACACTAGGSAGGTTAACCTCATCCTCCTGCTGACGGGCCCCGCCGGCCGGGTCTCCAGGAGCACGTCCCACCTCCTTCTCCAGACAGAGGGTTATAGCCTRCAACAGACAGGAGAAATCCACTGTGTTAATATTCACCTTCCACAGCCCTTCACCAACGCACAAGGAGCACCAAAAATTAAATCTCATCATTATTTACACCTTGTTTGTACTTTACACAGGCAGCATTTTAGGGAAAATTAAAGCAGGGAAAATATCCAGACTTGAGAAGGTTTATTTTTCTAGTGCTAACAGTAAAAGCCATTGCAAAACACTTGTGTTTTAATTTGATCAATTTGGATTAAATGAAATTGAAATGGATTACCATTTAATTTTTCTAAGTCTGCACTAAAGCTGTAGTGCTGCTCTGCAGTAGCAAGAGCAGCTCTTCCAKTAAAGTCTGCAGGAGTGTTTCTGTTCTCCAAGAGCCCTAACAGTCAGGGACTTAAAATAATCCTTTATTCCAGTCCTGCAGGGAATACTCTGAAGGTCAAACAGTAAATCCATTCATTWATACTGCAAAGTATTTTTAGAGCATTTGAAAAGATATGCATAGGCAGTAAAGCAAACAGACTTTCGTTGAACATCCTAATGCTGTAAGCATGGGAAACTTTATGTCAGGAGARCACACTCAGAAAGTTACAACTTGGCAAACATCTTCAATTTGTTCCACACAAAGCAAAGAACCCAAATCCTAGCAGCACTGCTAACCAGGAAGGTTTCAAAGCAACCTGTTCCACTGAAACTCCCAGCATTACCTTCATCTTTGAAATTTGTTTTTCTCATACAYGCCAAGTTTTGCTTTCTAGCTTAATTGAGCAGCTGAGCAGCACAGATGGTTCTTTCACTTCATGCTGATCTRCCCCAGGAGAAGATCTGAGACCTCTAATTCCATAATTGGTTACTTTAGCAAAGACTTTGCTGAGGATTAAACCAGGACAGGCAGCAGCTGGAAGGGTGCCCCAACCCAGCTGCCCTGATGCTGGTTCTCAGTGCAGCCATGAACCCTGCATTCCCCATCCTCCAGGGTGACAAATATCCCATGACAGAGCTATCAAAGATACCTGACAACATCAGMCATCAGACTGCCCTCACATTAAACAATCAATGATGATTGATTCAATGATGAATCAATTGCTTGTTTCTTTCARTGTCAGGAAAAACACTCCAAGCAGAAATCCCAGCACTGTCCTATTACTGACATTTCATATGTTTAATCAAGAATCCATCCACCAACTCCAAGGTTTCATACATTTAATCAAGTGACTTACTCTGCACTGCACCCTAAATAGGCCTCCCTTTCAGCCCGATATGATTGAGGCTGTCTAGATGATCCACTCCACTACAGAAAATTGTAATTAAAATATACCCAAATTAGCACCTGYAGGTATGGCAAGGGCTGTTGGGCTGAGAGGAGAGGAAGGAGATTGCCTGCATGGATGAYATGTGGCAGTGAGCCTGACCTGGGCAATGTGAGGCTATCGAAAGCACTTCATCCATCAAGATGATTTCAGCAGATGACTGAGTTTAATGGTGAGACCTTCTGGTGCTTTGTGAGAGTTGGTAAAAGTTTATACATCTGCAGGAGTTATATATTCAGTAAGTCATTGCTGCAGTATATAACAAATAAGGTCACATTCTACATAAGGATGTCTTTCATCTTCTGAATCTCCATAATACAAAATAAAATACCCTGTTCCTGCATTTAATTAGTACTACAGCTGCTTCAAAGGCAGACCAGATACTAAATTATGAAACTTATACAATAATGGGGGAGGGATCCCAGAAATATTGTAAGAATCTGTAATTKAGAGTGGCAAAAATCTCAGTAAATTATGCCAAAGCGTATATACTAAAAACCGAAACRTTCTTTTTCCAGGGAAAAGCACTCCCAAAACTTCCTGCCAGTTTTTGCACAAARTGCAGAGTAGACCAGCTGATCAGAGATAAAAAGCTTGTTTGTAAGGCACATTTTGTTTCCTCCTTGAAAAAGACAAAAAGCATGTCCAGAGACCACAGATACAGCTTGCTAAATGACCTGTTCCAAGCTCAGAGTGTCTGAGGGATTCCATACTCACCACCTCCTCTCAAAGGCTTTTTGTTTGGTTTAGATTTCGGGACTGCTGAGGCAGAGGCACCAGATTCTACTTCTTGCTGTTCAGAAAAGCAAAAATAAGTTACTCAAAATGAATTTCATCTCCCTTAATCACATGAACACAACTGTACCTGATTSACATGGTTGTTACCTGGTTGAGTTTCAGGTTTCCTTTGTAGCTCTTTCCTTCTTGCATACTCTCCCACATTGCGATCTTCTGCCTTCGCTTCTCTTCTTCGAGCTACAGAACAAATCCAGGATACAGACTTAAGCTTTAAACTAAGATTTCAGAACTAACAGAATCCCCAGAAACACCTACAGCAGATTCATCAAACTATCTTTATCTGATGCAGTATTTCTGAGCTTATGGAAGAATTTACTTTTTTTACACACCCACATCTCTTCCCCTCCTCCAGATGTACAGATTGAGTCTGCAGCTTCTTTTGGCCACTTAGTGCTTTAAAACRTTTTGTAAGTAAAACAGAACCAAGTGGTAAATTAAAACCCCGAGTCTGTAAAAAGTACTAAATAAAGAGTACTGCATATTACAGTAACTYAATGCACAACATGGGGTTCTACAGAAGAAAGACACGACTTTTCCTTTGGTTTTAATTGCCAAAATTACTTGAAATATCAACTRTAAACTGAGGTCTGAGTGTCTTGACTGCAAAACCAGGAGAAGAGGTGGGATGATGATCAGTGCTACTGCTATGCTGGCCACATCCATTTTCTGCACTGCCCCACACTGCAATCTGCTACTCCTCATTATCTCAAGCTGTAAWTCAGACCCTTAAATTGCAGCGATTCTGAGGTACATTTCTAACACTTCTWCTTGCCATTTGGAGCAGAAAACAGACATATGCAGTGGTACAGTTAATTGAAATGTCAGCAAACCCCCTCCAGTCACTCACTAYACACATAATTAAGTTCCTGCAGGTACAGATTCACTTGTGAAAAAATAAACATCAGGCCATGGCACACACTTACAATTTGCTGCTCATTTTTACAGCAGCAAAGAACTTGATGSAAAATCTATGAGCTAAAGATAKAAATGCTCTCTGGTTACCTGTCTTTGTTTTTCTTTGTATCTTTCTGCTTGTGCATTCAACTCCTCCTGCATCCTGAGGCGAGCTGCTGCCAAAGCTTCCTGCCTTCTTACCACCACATCAGGTTCTAGGAAATCAGGAAAGAGTTTGCAAAGCCATTCAAAGGTAAACTCTACRTGGCCTCTTCAAACAATTATAATAAGGAAAGACTCACATCTCTCCCTGCAGCTGTTCTGCAGAAAATCACAGCTCAAGTTCAGCTTCCAGCTAATCTTTTACAGTAATTTATATGCTGTATTAAACTTCATCATGTTTTAATGTTTCAAAGCAATTACTTTAACAGGATTTTAATAAAGACACAAGTGTAACTAATCATAAAATTTAGACCTCACACTTCTAGGACACTTCCTTCTATTTCTGAAGGATTTGCTAGATACAAATAAAATCAGAAATATCACCCAGGCTTCACAGGSACACCATTTTTATCCAAAGAACTTYTTTTACGCAGAAGGATAAGGCAACCAGCCCACATCACTCCTACTCCTTCTGGCAATGGGTCCCGCTGGTGTCAGCGCAGCAGTGGATTTAACACCCTCCATCAGCAGAGAAATCACTTACAAACATGACACACATCTCAAGAGACACCTGGAGGTCTCAGAAAATCCACACTGAGTCACCACTGCTCTTCCTGAGTGGCCTTTGAAGGTCAAAAGAAAAATTATACCCCAAAAAAAAGGCAAATGTTGCTCTGTTTTCTTCTAGCAGCTCAAGCATCTTCACATTTGTTTGCCTCATTTTTTGCTACCATCCAGTGATGCATATGAAAAAGAAATGTCAGTACATTCAGTAATTTCATTTTACAGGCAGTTTGGGCAATTTAATTGCCATTTAATTACCATCACAAAAGAATAGCAGAAGGATAAGGGCACGCATGTGAGATCTTTTTCCTGGGGCCCCACGTCCTGTCATGCCAATGTGCCCAAGGGATCAGTGCCAAGCACTSATGGATTTGGCAGATCCACGGGCACAGCTTGTGCTTTTCAGCAGCATCGTGACTGTTTGAGATTTACAACCTCTTGGGGTGTTAYAGCCAAACACCCAAAGATAGCATGGACTGTCACACCCCAAACGTACACAGTCCTACCAGAGCAGGAACTGGGATGGAATAACTGCAAGGAAATGATGAATATTTATAAAATAATGAATATTTATACAGGTATTTTCCMCAGGATTTAGATTTGGGCATCTTGGTTTTGTTTAGTAAGTYTRAAAGTTATTTGGTAACTGACCACAAGTGCTTTTACCTCCATCCCCTCAGCTCCTGCACCACCARARAGCAGCTATTCCCTYSTTCTGCTCCTTCATTCCCAAACGCATTACTTTGGGACACAGCTCTTCCTCGACAACCTTCTAAAAACACTTCTCTTGGTCCAGCCTTTCCCAGCGAGCCCCTCACTCTCAGGATTTGTGGGCTGAACAGTTATCCCGAGCATCACCCTCCATTAAAACCCCTCACAACCGGATCTGCTTCGGGCTGTTACCGACCCCAGAGCCGCGTGCGGACCCGAGCAGTTCCAGCCATCCCAAGCCCCGGAGCCTGGGGAACAGCAGCAACCGGAGTGCACAAACCCCGCTCTGCAGAGGAGCAGCGCTYTCTGTACTCACCCTCCGCCGCCTCAGCTGCTCCGGGCCGGCCGCTCGGCCGCGCCGCCAGGCTGCGGGACACCTTCTGCACCAGCAGATACACGGCGACGGCTGCCAGAAGGATGTACCAGCCATAGCTGGACAGCAACGAGCCCACTGCGGCGGGACAGGCCGGGGGTAAGCGCGGGCCGCACGGCGAGGGGCCCACACGGGCCGGGCTCCGCGCCTCAGCCCCGCCGCCCCCCGCCCTCAGCCCCGGCCCCCCGCCCCTC